ATCACGGGTTCGTATGGATAGTAAACCCGGCAAATTGTAATAAACCCATGTGAGCCAGGGCCGGGTCCCCCTTCTTTTTTCAAAATCCTCGATATATAGTATAATAGTATAAAACTTTATTTTGATTCGGCATATTGACAAACATACAAACATAAGCTCTAATGTCATTGAGCTTTTCACCGAATATAAAAACATATGCAATAACAAATAAAACAAGGCATGCAGCATGCAAATAAATAATAAAAAACAGCACCACATTTAACTCTAGCATATACATGTATCTTGCTAAATGCCAAAACATATATATGAAGCACTTATACAGGAATAATTTTTAAAATTTGCGGTTTAAAATTTTTAAAATAATTTATAAAGTAAAAATTTCAAATCTTGTAATTATTAAAATGTAAAAACAAAATTTCAGTTGCAATGCAAGCTGTTAATGCAGCATAAAAAGCATAAATAATGTAACACAAATTACCTACAGGCAGAGCAAAAACAGTCTGTTCCACTCCAGGACTGAACAAGACTTCTAAAATGTGAGAAGCTGTTAACAGTCCTGAAATGGTCTGGTAAGCTATTCCATAAAGAAGCAGCAGCAAAGCTAAAAGATTTTTTTCCATATGAGGTAGTTCTTACCTGTGGTATTTCCAAAATATTACTGTATCTAAAAGAATATTTAGTGTGTTTAATTTGGAGTAAATTTTGTAAACATAAAGGAGCCAAATTATTTAAAATTTTATAAGTTTCAAGTGCCATTGTCCTGATGCGTCTTACTTGTAGGGTTGGAACCTTTGCGTTCTCAAGAAGAGTTTCAGAGGATGATAAATAGTCGTCATATACAAATCTTAATGCTCTCTCTTGTATTTTGTCCAGTTTTTTTAGAATTTTTCTCTGTACAAAAATGCCAAGCCAAAGGGCAAAAATTAAAATTACTCAAAATGAAAGTATGAAAAATTGTAAGTTTATTTAATCTGTTTAACAATGTTTAAAAAGGATCCAATTCTCTTGAGAACATTCAGCTGTTGTGATGCCTTTCTACACAAGTTACTTATATGTGCATCAAATTTTAGTTGGTAATCAATATCAATTCCAAGTAACTTGACGGTTTCTTCACATGATAAAATATTTTGCTGAATTTGCATAGATGGATTTTTTGCAAAGGTTCTTTTCCCTACAGCAATAACTTGAAATTTATCAGGATTTGCCTGCATCTTATTTTCTTTAAACCAATCAATCAGCACTTGAGACTCAGATTCTAATATAGATACGAGATGGTCATAATCCGGACTGCTAAAAGACAGAGTATTGTCGTCAGCATAATTGTATAAGGTACTATGTTTAACCAAATAAAAAATATCATTTATGAAGACATTAAATAAAAGGGGCCCCAATATAGAACCTTGGGGTACCCCCTTTTGGATGGCAGCCCAGCTACTCAGAACACTGTTTACTTTAATTTGCTGTTTTCTGTCAGAAAGATATGATTTTAATAAAGATACAGAATGTGGAGAAACACCATATGCTAATAATTTATATAGTAAAATATCATGAGGTAAGCAGTCAAAAGCTTTTGATAAATCCATAAGAACTGCAGCTATATAAAAATTTTTGTCTATTAAAGGCTTTATGCCAGTCTTCCAGTAATCTAAGCAGAGTAGTCTGACATCCATGTCCTCTACGGAAAGCACATAGATAAGGATTAAAAATGGAATCAAAGAAATCGTATAACTGTATTTCAAATATCTTTTCATAAAATTTTGAAAAAATAGGTAACACACTGACTGGTCTGTAGTTTGATTTCAGTAGTGGGTCGTTCTTTTTATGTAAGGGTGAAACTTGGGCTTCTTTGAGTCGATCTGGAAATATGCCCGTGTCTACAGTCAAATTTATAAGACTGGTCAGCTGAGGTGCAACGACAGATTTACTTGCTTTAACTATTTTTGCTGGTATCCCATCTGCTCCTGTTGCTTTTTTCACGTTAAATTTATTGATGATTTTTTTCACTTTTTCTGATGTCACCTTTTGAAATTCAAATTTTGTATCTGTTTTCAAGTGATTTTGTTCATATATGGCATTTATGCTATGATGGTTTAATGGATCATATATAACATCATTTCCTATCTTCTCAGCAACAGTAGCAAAAAATTTATTAAAAATATCTGATACATCTTTTGAATTATTTATAATTTTATTTTCTTCAAATAAAATAGTTTTTTGCCCTTGGGATTTGCATTTTTTTGAAAAGAAAGGTTTGACAGTGTTCCAAAAACAGCACTTTTTGATCCTCCAGAACAGTCAGCGTTCTAAAAAATATATTTTCATAGATTTCCTTTTTAATTTATTTACCAAATTTCTTTGCTGTCTGAATTTTTCCCAAGTATGATTATTTCTTTTTCGGTGTACTGAGAAAATAGCATGTGTTTTCTGTATATGGCTTTTCTTAATTCTCCATTCATACATGATCCGCACCTGAACTGTTGAAACAGATGTATTGGTTCCGATTATGATTGAAACACAAATGGAATGCACAAGTATCATCTTAGGAGTTTAATCATGCTTACCGAGTGAGTAACAAACAATTTTCTTCGCTCTTCTTGGTAGAGTGAGTGACCCATATTCGCCGCATAGTTCGTGTATTCCCACTTACATCCGACCTACATTCGAATATTTGGAATTTTTTATGTAGGTTTCAGAAATTTAACTATATGTAAAAAATGTTTGATAAAGGAATCATCTTCAAAACATTGGTTAAATGTTCTAAAAACAAACGCAACTCAAGAGGAAATCAAGTTGTTCGTGTACCATGAGGGACACATTTTCACCGCAATGTATTTTATGACCATCCTCATTATCTTGGTATATTATAAAAACGAATGTTTGCAATAACATGAATTAACTTGAGAGATCATTCCTATACGATTTTTCTCACAAATATTTACGTTAAGACTGCGCATGATTGCCATATAATTAAAATCTTACATAATTGCCAAAATCGTTTAAAAACACCTGCGTATTTCTTTATATGTGCGAATAACCTTGGAAATGGGGTAAAGAGGAATATCAACAGTTCGAACATTACAAACAGCCTTTACCATATTTTAAGGCAAGTATTGGGTAAAGGCACAAAAATTTTACAGAAGAAATAACAAAACGGCGAAAATGTGTCCAAGGCGAATATGCGCCACCCACTCTATAATTCTTTGTGTTTCAAATTTTAAACTTCGCATTTCCGCAAACTGGTTCCCGATATTCACATGTGAAAAACAAAACAGTCGACTTGTGTCTTCTGCTCCAATTCCGGAAAAGGTCGGTGAGGGTGGTAAAGGGTTATTTTCGTGCAACGTGATCGCCGTTTTTTATTTCACGTTCAACGTGTTTTTACTTTTTTATTTAACGTTCAGTCGTGCAAGACAGGTGCCTCGTTCAACGTGTTCTGCTTATTTAATTTTACGTGCATCGTGATTTTCAAATGCTTATTTTGCGTGCTCGGTATTTTTCAAATAAAATTCAAATACTTGGCAGGGATCGTCAAGAAATACTTTTTTAAAAGCCGTAAACCATTTACATCATAAATGTGTAACGTGAGGGTACCCAAATTGCACCTATTTTGACAGTTTTTTCACCTACGTTTTTTAACGATCCAGACAAAAGTTACCATTTTGTGTTTATTTTGTAGATGTATCCTTTTTTTACTGTATAGTTACATCAATTTAATTTTGAATCTATAGTGAATCATAGAAATATGGGTTTGAACCGACCTCCAAACGATCCATGATTCTGTAATGAGGAGTACCAAAATTACAACCATGCTTTAATTCACATCCTTAAAAATCGAATAATAGTTGTTTTGTTTTATTTCTTCAAATATTTAGAACAATTTGACATTAGTCCATGCTTAGTATTCATTTTTTAAGAAATAGATGCTTGTAACATATTTTATTTGCTCATTTTTAAGAGATGACTTTTTGTGAACGTCGCATGGCGACGTTCAGTAATTTTACTTTTTCCAGTGTGCTTCATCTGTTCAAATATATACTGTGAACGTTTTTTGTATATTTGAATATTGTTACCTATGTTAAAAGACGTCTATAATGTCAAATCATAAAAATACAAATTATTTAGCCTCAAAGAAAACTTGTAAGATTTTCGCAGCTATTTTTGTTGAATAGGTGCAATTTGGGTACTCGGTGCAATTTGGGTACTGTGACGTTATACTAAATCGGGAATAACAAGTAAAACAGAGAGTTTATATATATACAAGAAGACAGTGACTCAGTCACAAAAGGTTCACAACAGTCTTTATTTTTCGTGAAACGTTCATGACAGAAATTTTTTCACGTTCATCGTGAAATTATGTCTTATTTCACGTTTTATCCGTGCAAAAAACCAACTAACTATTAGTAAATTCCATAAAACGTTGTCTGTGGGATATTGAACAAAGTTTTAATAAAATGTTATTTTCATATCCGTAAAATGTTGAATAAAATCAGTAAGAATATTAAATAAAGTGCCGTATGTCAAAATATTTTATAGAAAACATTTAGCCGATATCTTTCAGATGTTAAAACATTTTAATTAAACGTTACAAAACATTTTATGTAAAATAGCAAAACTATATTTTCTGCAAAACATATTTAGCCGAATGTTTTTGGGATATTTGGAAAATATTTACTTTAAATGGTTTAGCAATACAAAATACCAATTGAAGAAAATATTATTTTTTTATATTATAGAAATATGTACGGGATATTTCAGAACAATGTTTGAGAACGTGAATAAAAGATATTAGGAAATAATATTTGTTTGATGTTGTTAAGACATTTGATCTAAATGTTAGAATTAAAACATTTCAAAAACAATAAAATAAACATTTGTTTGATGTTCAAAGAATATATTATTGCAATGTTTTCGGAAAGTCATCTATTATATGACATTCGAAAAATGTTTTTAAATTGTTATGTGTTAAAACTGTTACTATGTAAGCCATCTGGTGCACACACATGGAAGGTTAGTAATGGTTAGTAAATGTAATAATGATAAGATGAATTCAACCTGCATGTTCTATACATGTTTTTTCTCCTGTTTAACATTCTGCTTTGTCTACAATTTTATAGTTTTTAAATACGGAAAATTAATTACTGTTCCGAAAACTTATACAAAAGCATTAGTTGAAAAGCGAAAGTATCATTTAAATTTAAAAAAAAGAGATGTACTTGTGTTTCTCCATATTCAAAAAAACAGGAGGTTCTCATTTTGGAGGACAATTAGTAACTAACCTGAATATTACTTCGCCATGCGTCTGTCCTAATACCGGTCCTAAAGTTGATGCATGCAGCTGCATAACATCAAATAAAAAAAAATGGTTATTTAGCCGATATTCTACAGGATGGCCATGTGGTGTACATGCTGACTGGACCGAGTTACAAAACTGTGTCGGAAAGGAAATGGACAGACTAGAAGGTTTACATCGAAAGAGGAGGTTTGTACTAGTGAACACTGAAAATTTAACAAAAAGAGTGAAACAGATATGTTTGTACGGTATAAAAAGTCGGGGGAGCGCTCACACAATGTTTACATTGTATCACATCACACACTGTATGTTCCTGTTCCGTATTGATAAAATTGCACAGTCTTAAAACAGTTAAAAACTATATACGATCCAGATACTTTTGTTTATGAAAAAAAAGTCGATAAAAGTAAATTACATTTATAAAACCCTAAAAAAGAAATTTATCATTTCATAATTCATAAATGTTTGTTTGAATTTCATTTATATTAAATAATTGGTATAATCTGAGACTACTATAACACTGATAATTTGAAAGCTTTTCCCCATTTATATATGATGTCTAACAATTCATCAAGAGACCTGGAGCTGCACTAAATACATATATATATATATATATATAGAAGTCTATAAAAAGGACCATCCAGCAAATTTAATATGTATCGGATCGTCTAGAATAGACAATACTGCGCAGATAAGGACAAAAATATATAAGTCTAAAGATATGCACAACGGTACTTATATAAGATGGTAATATACGAAGATGATGTTATAAATCGTGTTGACAAATATTTCGGCTTAACAAATAGTCTTCGTCAGTGTCGATAATTTTTAAATCAGATCACTTCTGGTGAAGCAGGAAAATTAACTTGACGGGTGTGGTCAGAAACGTGTCCTCTTATTTCTAACATCAAGCCGTTTTAAAAGGAATTTTGTTTTCAATTCACGTGTCATTTGTGACTCATTTCTGACTTGAAATTGAAAATTTGATGATTCTTCACCAACGAACTTTTTAATTGAACAAATCAAAAATCATATGATATTTTATAATCATCAAGTGTGTAGGGTTTACTAGAATAAATGGAGCCTTCGTGTATCTTGGGCACCCAGCTGTGAAATCAAAATTCATCTCGCATGCTTTTGAACCTACCTGTTTTACAGATATAAAATAAAGGTTTACTACAATAAACGGAGCCTTCGTGTATCTTGGGCACCCAGCTGTGAAATCAAAATTCATCTCCCATGCTTTTGAAACTACCTGTCTTTACAGGTAAAATCTTTGTTTATTAGATACCATTAACGGACCTGTAGTAAAACAATGTAAGATTAATGAGATTAATCTGTACACATTCAGATCCATTCACATTTTCGAGAGTCGCATAATTAAATGCTATTAATGATTTAATTTTTTTTTAAATATGATAAGTGATAAAATTGAGAATGGAAATGGGGAATGTGTCAAAGAGACAACAACCCGACCAAAGAGCAGAAAACATCCCAAGGCCACCAATGGGTCTTCAACACAGCGAGAAAATCCCGCACCCGGAGGCGGGCTTCAGCTGGCCCTAAACAAAATTGTGTACTAGTTCAGTGAAAATGGACGTCACACTAAACTCCGAAACATATAAATGAACTAATATTAAAAAACATACAAGACTATAAAGGCCAGAGGCTCCTGACTTGGGACAGGCGCAAAAAAGCGGCGGGGTTTAACATGTTTTGTGAGATCTCAACCCTCCCCCCTATACCTCTAGCCAATGTAGAATAAACAAACACACAGCAATACGCACAGTAAAACTCAGTTTAAAAGAAGTCCGAGTCCGATGTCAGAATAGGTTACAGAAGAAACTAAGCAAAATGACAATGATACATAAATTAACAAAGGATTACTAACAGTTACTGACATGCTAGCTCCAGACCTCAATTAAACTGATTGAAAGATTATGTCTTCATCATTTGAATAACTGCAATTGATAGATAAAAACAAAAAAACGTTGATGACGTCACGGTCACATGACAAAATTATGTCTATGAGCTGATAAACAAACAACGTGAGCCAATCAGAAGACGCGTTACATCAAAATTAAATTATTTGCTTTTAAAGAGAATAATACCAATTCAATTCAAACCGAATACCGACCGTGCGAGGGCTGTATAGCCAGTCAAGGTCGTTAAAAACTCCCATCATCATCAATTCAAATTCTTTGTTTAACCTCAGACACATTTAGTGTACAAGAGGACAATAAACTAACATTATATACATAAACGATGGCAGGCGAGACTGACAAATACAGAACAAATACATACAAATCGAACATATAATATCATTCTTCAACAAAATATTGAAGTTCTATAAAAACGCAATCTGATACATGGTTTTTCTAAAAAATACTTCGAGATTTTTTTTCAGGAACAAAGACAGGTTTTTGTATAGTCGAACATGACATAGTGACAACATATTTTTCATTTTTATCTCACTTGGCAGTGGCGGATCCAGGTAGGGGGTTCCGGGGGTTGGAACCCCCCCCCCCCCCCTTTTTTTTTGACGATCAATGCATTTGAATGGGGACATATAGTTGGACCCCCCCCCCCCCCCCCCCCTTTATCCTGGGTTAGGAACCCCCCTTTTATAAATGGCTGGATCCGCCCTTGCTTGGATTTGTACTATTGTAACTACGTACATATGTTTTTCTAAGTTGTTCAAATGGTGGAAATATACATTGGAATAAATAATGAAATTCATTCCCGATTCCGTTTTTGCAAAGGTTACAAATTCTATTCTCTTTAAGTATCTCAGTCGACCCATAGGAAATCTAATATTTGCACATCTCAATTTAGTAATGAATACCCTTTTATGTTCCTCAAGATTCATCAACTATTTTTTCCAATTCAAACTTGTTTTTGAATAGAGAATAGAATTCTCCACTTGAAGAATTTTGAATCTGCGATACCCAATGCTGAATGAAATGATCGGTAAAGTCTTTAATTTAAGCTGGTTTTTATCCATATGTACCTGGTTACTCCAAACAAAACTTAATCCACATTCGTCCAAAATAGATTTTATGTATGAAATCCATTTGAACTTTTGAGGACTAGTTTTATGTAATTCAAACATTAATTTGTACATAACTGTTGACAATTTATGATCATTTACCAATAAATTATTTCAAAAAGACATCATTTTTTGTTTTACGAGTACTTATCATGAAGTAAGGGATTATCATTCCCTTACAAACTTAGAATATAGCAAAGTGCTCTCGACCAATAAAATTGTAGGATTTGATGCCTCTTAATTGTGAAGAATGAAAGAAAATCATGTTCTTAGTAAGGGATTATCCTATTATGTGGGTTTATTTACAGTTCAAAACAAAGAGTTTCTATAAATGAGTTACAACTGCCCCGAAGCACATTTATCAGATTGAAAGGATGTATCACACAGTGATTGAAACTGACTTACAGTTGAATTGTGAAACAAACAAAAAACTCAAAATAAGTTAAAGTTTACTGTGCAGTAAAATTGGTACCGTGAATATTATTATGAAAATATTAATAACTTCAAATTACTAAATAATTAAACAATATCAAAGCATTTGCAAAATAAAGCAAAAAAAAAAGCTTTAAAATAAAAAAAATACCTTAATATTCAGCTTTCAAAAACTTTGATCACTGGATCAGCGGTTGGGAAGAATAGTTATTTCCATATTTCGATAAAATAAAAAAAAAACAGGAATTTAATTTAAGTCTTGAACATATTAAAAACTTTTAAAGGCATTTCATTTGAACATTTACCTGGCTTAATGAAATAGTATTTGATTTAAAAAGCGGACCAAATATTGGCTGTTAAATAAAATTTAGTTGTAACTCAAATGTATCAATTGATTTGAACTGTAAATTAAAAAAAGGATAATTCCTCACTAAAATAGTACATGATTTAAATTCATACTCACAATCAGGAAACATATACAATTCCTACATTTTCTTTGTTCTGTTGTGTTACCTAATATGTATAAAGCATTTTCTTTTTATTTCCCTAATAATAAGAAAGTCCTTACATCACTAAAACTAATCCATAAATGAAATGCCTAAAAAGGAAGTCATGCATTAATTATAAACATTGCACTGACAATGAAACTAATTATTAAATACGACCAATTTAGAGATCATTTGAGCCTTGAGCACTTTACAATATTCTAAGTTTGTAACGCTAACGCTCGTACTAATCATGAAGAAAGGGATTATCATTCTCTTACATATACTTAGTCTATGATATTAAATTGAAATGAAGGAGTCGGCAAACTGGGACCAAAAGATACATTGTATTAGTCATGTTAGTTCAAACTTCTGGGTTTAAAAAATCGTCATGAAATAAATAAACTATAGAAACTAATTTTAAAAGTCTATTATTATCTAACGTTGGCTTTCATCAACACAAATTACTTAAAACTTTTACAATATTATTTATTAAAGCGAGACCTAGGGATTGCTTTTCCGGCGACGGCGACGGCGTCAACAATTGTCATGTTTTCTGCTTAAGTTAGTTCGATAGGAACTACTTGTGATAGATCATTGATATTTAATATAAAGTTGTATCACTATCAGTACATATCAGTTTGGCGACTATTTTGAGGCCATGCCCCTAGAACATGCATGGTCCTGTGACTTTGAATTAATTAGCAATTTTCAATTTTAAGTTTTTCTGCGTAAATTTATATTGATAAGAACTACTTACAATAAACAACGATATTTTCTATAAAGTTACATTACTGTCTGTACATCTCAGTTTGTTGACCATTTCCAGGCCCTGTCCACTAGATCATGGTTCAGTGACTGAATTAATAAGCAATGTTGCTGTCTATCAGATTGTCTTTTTCTGAATTTTATGCCGATAGGCGAGACATACATTGTATCTCTTGTGTCAACAGTTTATTAATATGACGTTGTTTACCGAGCCCGTAAATTTAGATACGATCCGGGTAAACCTATCGACCCTTTAAATAAACTTATTCTAAAAGGTTACCAATTCAACACTATAATTGAATCTTTGAATGTTGTTTTTATCGGTATAAATATTGATATTGTTATCAATAAATTAAAACCCAACTTAATGTTATTGTTATACTCATATGTACATTCACGGTCCTACAATCTATCGATACCTATATTTTGGCAATGCACAAGGTCATGTTTTTCTCGGACTGTTTATGACGTCTTTACACTAATTCCATTGGATGTTGCAGGTGTACTGATTTATATTTTAGTCTTAGATTCATGATTTTTTTTTTTATTAATTGTTGTTATTGGGTTTGAACTAACTTTCAGTAACAGCGAGTTCTCTCAGATCTGTACTTTGTGTCTTTTGTGTTTTTGTTAGTTTTTTTTGTGCTTTGTATCGATCTGATGAGTTAAGCCCTTTTCAACTGATTTTTATAATTTGTTCTTTAGTTGAACTATAATCAAGCAGTTAATTTTCTCGTTTTATATTTTTATATTTTTCCTTTCGGGGCCTTTTATAGCTTACTAAGCGGTATGGATTTTGCTCATTGTTGAAGGCGGCCGTTCGGTGACCTATAGTTGTTAACTTATACGTCATTTGGTCTCTGGCAAAGATTTGTATCATTGGCAATCAGACCACATCGTTTTATTTTTCTATTTGCAGCATACAATGTATATATGTAATAAGCTTATTGTCACGGTGTTTGTATTGTTGAACACTGTTTTTCCTCATCTACATGAAGTTTTAACGAATTGACCAAGTAACTTGGGACGAATTGTTTGATTCGAATTGGAGTTTGGAACAAATCATTCAGATACCACTAAATTTCGCGGGATTGTTTTACCAGAAGTTTAAAGCAACAATACAAAGGAGACATAACACACATTCACCTTTGAGGCTCTCTTTTCGACCGCTCGACCCACTTTTATCAACTGTACATAAACCCTCTTAAAATTCAAAATCGTGTATTTACAAACTGACATAACTGGTGCGCGTTTACTCCATTTTCATACCTTCACACAAAAGACCTCTTGGAACAGAGGTGGGTAATCGGTTGTCGGTGCGGAAAGATTCCGACACATTTGTGAAATACTCGTAAACTTGGTCGTACGATTAACGAACCTTTGTGAAACGATAACCAGAAACGAATAATCCAGTGATTGTTTCTGACTGATTTCTGTCATAACTCAGTGTTTTTCATTTATTGTTGTAGTATGGTTTGGGCCTTTCGATCTTTTTATCCTGATTGTTTCACATTTTATCGTCTCGGCACCTTTAATAACTTAATTTACGGATAAAGGTTTTCTCGTCATTGTTGAAGGTCGTATTAGTCTCATCCTTGACCTTTGGATTCCACATCATAATTTTGTAAAACTGCTATCAAAACACATACACTTACATAAATGATACAGAACAAAAATTTAGAGTACCACTAGATGGCGATCGGTAAAATGTCAGAAAGACACCTTTAAACCTGATATATAGTTTGCACCTGATGACGGTTATTCCAGAAACACGCGTGTAGTTGTCTTGACAATAGGCATTATACTTTAAACAAGTGTGCACATGCTAAAATTTCTCGCCCGCTCTACTGATAATGATTGATTTTATGTTGAAAGTTTTATAAGAAATTTAACCACAAGTATCACATAAACCTAACATTATCAATGATCCATGTAGATGAGGTGCTGGTCAGATAAACCCTGCCAGAAAGTCATGACCACTAATATGAGAAACGGACGTGACAACTTAATTTTTGTCGAGCCTGCGACTTTTGTCGCAGAAAGCTCGACATAGGGATAGTGATCCGGCGGCGTCGTCGGCGGCGTTAGCTAACTTCTTAAAAGCTTTATATTTTCCAAGGTGGAAGACCTGGATGCTTCATACTATGTATATAGATGCCTTATGTTATGAAGTTTCCGTCTGCCATATGTCCATTGTCCTTGACCTCATTTTCATGGTTCAGTGACGACTTGAAAAAAAAGTTAAGATTTTTTTTAAAGTTAATTTCTCTCTTATTATGAGTAATAGGATAACTATATTTAATATGTGCGTACCTTGCAAGGTCCTCATGCCCGTCAAACAGTTTTCATCTGACCTCGACCTCATTTCATGGTTCAGTGAACAAGGTTAAGTTTTCGTGGTCAAGTCCATATATCAGATAATAAAATCGTAAGGGTTCCGCGGAACCCAGTGTCTCGCCTACTTTTGCTGTTAGTCGCAGGCTCAACAAAAATGGGAAAAAATTATTAAAAGTTTTCCTCTAGATACTATTTTTTGATTGTAAGAAGCTTCTATCCAAGTTTGGTAAAAATCCAGGATGGTTTACGAATCTAACAAATGTTTTTAAAACTGGAAGAAAAATTAAGTCCATTTATAAGTAATATACGGAAAAACAGGAAATAATTTTTACAAAATTTCCTTCTAGATACTAGCTTTTGATCATAAACAAGCTTCTGTCCGAGTTTGGTACAAATCCAGGATAGTTTAAGAAAGTTATTAAAATTTGAAAAACTTTAACCACTGAGTGAATGTAATGTTAACTGGCAGAAAAACTAAGTCCATTTATAAGTAAAATACGGATAAACAGGATTTTATTTTTACAAAATTTACTTCTGGATACTATCTTATGATCATAAACAAGCTTCTGTCCAAGTTTGGTACAGATCCAGGATAGTTTAAGAAAGTTATTAAAATTTTAAAAACTTTAACCACAGAGTGAATGTAATGTTAACTGGCAAAAAAACTAAGTCCATTTATAAGTAAAATACGGATAAACAGGACTTTTTTTTACAAAATTTACTTCTGGAAACTATCTTATGATCATAAACAAGCTTCTATCCAAGTTTGGTAGAAATCCAGGATAGTTTAAGAAAGTTATTAAAATTTCAAAAACTTTAACCACAGAGTGAATATGTGTGGACGCCGCCGACGACGACGGAATGTAGGATCGCTATGTCTCGCTTTTGCGACAAAAGTCGCAGGCTCGACAATAAGCAATAGGTGTTCTATATTTGGTGTGTGGAATGATTGTAAGGTGTACATGTCCAACTGGCAGGTGTCATCTGACCTTGACCTCATTTTCATGGTTCAGTGGTTAAAGTTAAGTTTTTGTGTTTTGGTCTTTTTTCCTAATACTATATGCAATAGGTCAACTATATTTGGTGTATGGAAATATTTTACAATGTACATGTCAGTCTGATTTTATTTGACCTTGACCTCATTTCACGGTTCATTGCTCAGTGTTTAGTTTTTGTGTTTTGGTCTGTTTTTCTTAAACTATAACCAATAGGTCAACTATATTTGTTGTATGGAATGATTGTAAGGTGTATATGTCTTTCTGGCAGGTATCTGACCTTGACCTTATTTTCATGGTTCATTGGTCAATGTTAAGTTTTCATGGTTAAGTTTGTTCCTTAGATACTTTAAGCAATAGGTCAACTATATGTAATGCATAAATTGATTGTAAGGTGTACATGTTTGTCTGTCATGGTTCATCTGACCTTGACCATACTTTTATGGTTCATTGGTCAATGTTTAGTTTTCCTGTTTAAGTCTGTTTCTTAGAAACTATAAGCAATAGGTCAACTATATTTGGTGTATTGAATGATTGTAAGGTGTACATGTATTTCCGGTTTGGTTTATCTGACCTTGACCTCATTTTCTTGGATCATGTTAAGAATATGTGATACTTTTAGTAAAGCTTTATAGTTAGGACTATCAACATAAAATTAATGATCAGTAAAGAAGGCGAGACATTTCAGCGTGTGCACTCTTGTTGGCATATAATCCATGAAAATGAATCAAGGTCAAATGAATCCTACCAGTCGGAAATGTACACTTTGCAAGCATTTCATACAACAAATATAGTTGCCTTGTTGCTTTCAGTATCTATGAAACTGACTAAACCACAAAACGTTATGTAATGGACAATGAAAATGTGGTTTAGGTCAGATAAACCCTGCCAGACTGATAATGTAAATAAATACATATGATACAGTGAATTTGTACAATCAGTGATATTGTATATCCCTGAAATAATTAGTGATTTTGTAAAACCCCTAACTGATTCAGTTATTTTGTAAAATCCCTAGCCGATTCAGTGATTTTGTAAAATCCCTAACTGATTCAGTGATTTTGTAAAACCCCTGATTCAGTGATTTTGTAAAATCCCTAACTGATTCAGTGATTTTGTAAAACCCCTAACTTATTCAGTGATTTTGTAAAACCCCTAACTGATTCAGTGATTTTTTAAAATCCCTGTAATTGTTAGGAATTTTTTATAATCACTGAAAATATCGCTAGGGATTTTGTAAAATCCCTAATTACAAGTTGAAACATAATATCTGAAATTTATTTTTATCTCTATCACAGTTTTGTCTACCTTTTTCATACGGTTTAGAATGGGGAGAGTGTATCTACTCTTATTTAGGGCCTATCATTTTCTGTTCTGTTAACCTCATTCAACCCCTCTTATAACAAAGCACAAAATTTTGAACTTACAATTTTTGCCAATGTAAATCAAATAACAATGCGATTAACTTGATTAATCTAGACCAAGAACATATCTTTTTCCGATTACATTACATAACTATATTACGAGAACCAGTTATAAGATATATCAGTGAATGGAAACAAGTTCAACGAATCGAGATGACCTGGCCTTCTTCGCTGTTCTGCGATGGACGGAAGGCATCTTCAAAAGAGGTCCCGTCTTGTTATACTGGACAAAAATGGAAGAATATAACATTTGAAAATTTCGTTGGTTGTAAATCGAACCTAGCAATTAATAGACAAACCCGGATGTTAGCTAACCTTAGTTCAGTTAACTGTTATAATACGACTGGGATGAGTTTTGAAGAAAGACAAACAAAAATATTGAAAAGTGCGTTAGAAAATTTAAAGAACATGGCATTTTTTGGATTAACGGAATATCAACTAGAAACACAACTTCTTTTTGAAATGACATTTGATATAAGATTTAAACATTTATTTGAGCAACACACTAACACGTATGCAGAAAATGCTATTTACAATTTGACTGAAGCACAAATTAGTAAAATTAAACAACTAAATGATTTAGACATTAAGTTGTACGAATTCGCAAAGAAATTTTTTTTTGAACGATTAATTATATATAAATCATAAAAAGGAAATGATTTTAATAAAATATTGTCAGATTAACTTATTTGTTCTAGAAACGATCTTAACAATAAATTATTATAAAAAGATGTGGTATGATTGCCAATGAGACAACTCTCCGCAAGAGGCCAAATGACACATAAATTAACAACTATAGGTCACCGTACGGCCTTCAACAATGAGCTTGCTCTTATTAATTCATTTTTTTGTCTTTAAGTCCATTTTCAGACACTAAACTGCAGTCAAGTTTAGCGTTTGATAATTCATTGATAACATTCTGGCATACCACAAACAAACAACTTGTAACGTCCCATTTCATTGGCCGAAAGATTCAAATACAACAACAATCGTAGTGTGCACGTGAACCGACAATGGAATGTACTACGTATGTTTTACTGCGAACATAAATTAAAGAATTGAAATAAATGTTGGTAATGATTTGTCTGATTTTCAAATAGTGGGGTCGAAAGATTATCCTTGTGATATTTTTTTATTTAGTAATGTTCTTTATGAAACAACACAATTATCATGTACCGGATTATGAAAAATATAAAGATAAATACATGTGCCACTTTTATACGGATAAATTTATTAAAACATGAGCCACTTTTAAATTTCTTTCACACTGACGGGATACAATTATATTTTAGGTTATTTTCCTGATAATGTCGTAGTTATATGTAGTAAAAATCTCATAATAATAATAATTCATGATGGGTTGCACATTTCTCTTTTGTTTTCATTCTATAAAACGAACATACAGTAGCTAAGCGTATGGTCATTCAGACTGAATAACGTATCACAAACGAAACAAATTGTCCCATTCATTCACCGAAAGATAGAAACAAAACAATGACAATCGTATTTTGCTAGCACTTGAATGAACAAAATTGACGTACTATGGAATGTACTATCATGGGTAATACGAAAATAAAATGAATTGAAGGCATGTTTGTGTAAAAAAGGGTTGAAACGTAACACTGGAGGAGATTTTGCTTCAGCATTTGTGGAACTAAAAAAAAAAATACTTGTGAGAAATGTCGTAGTTTATAAGGAACAATTTAAAAGAACTGTTTTGATTTTAATTGAATGGTTATTTGTCTTTTGATATTACACTAAGATGAACCTACCGGAAGAATAGTGCACAAGATATACACAATTGATTATGAATGAATTTTCTTTTAATGTCTCAAAATTTCTGGTATATTCCGTGGTTAAAATGTACAAGTCACAATGTTATCAAGACGAAGAATTCAAAGAATAATTCATTAGCGGATTCAGATGTAGGATACTGGTAGTACATATAGAAAGATATTTTATTCTCCAAAAACTAAATATAAATTTACTGAGAAACATAAAATTGTAGGTAAACAAATGTAGTATGCTCATTTAAAATGAAGTACAAAATTATACATGAATGTATAATAAACTGTAAAAATACATGTACAAGGAGGGACTCACCTTTTTATTAATACATTTACTGAATAAACACACTTTCTTTAATTTGATTGTTTTTCATTACCAAACAGCGAGTTAATTGACATGATAATACTTGTTCTTCGATGTAAACATTTACAATACATAATTAACGATTTGTTTTTTAACTGAGAACAGCAAAACAAATAATTATAAATTCATCACCTATATCGCCGGAGTTACATAAAGTACATTTCCTTTCACTGCGGCCAATATTTTGTCATCTCCATTTTTCTCTAAACAAAGCATGGTTACCTGCTTTGAATTTACTTAGAATTTCGGGATTTTTTTTTTTAAATCAAGTAAACCTGGGAATGTTATACTAAAATATATTATGTCCCAGAGTAAACTGAATCAGAAAAAAAATCACACTATCCCAAGTCAAATCCATAAAAACATAACCTTCCGTGTTTTTAAAAGTTACTGGATTATGCAATGAAATGATGTTCAAATGGAAGTTTTTAACGACCTTGACTGGCTATACAGCCCTTGCACGGTCGGCTATGGAATGATGTAAATGTAAGCTGGGACAGGTCAATATGTTATATCCCAGATTTAAGTTGTCATTTATAACTAGTCATTGGGATTCCATTTTTATATTTCTATGTAGTTTCGTATTTATAAAAAAAAAGGTTTAGTATACGTGAGCCTAGTTTAAGGGTCGAGGAGGAAGGCTGTGATATATTGACGATAGAATATGAATAGTGAACAGTTTATTTCACAAACCTATGTATTACTGTAAAATCGTGCAATATCTTTATCAATATGTAATTTGGTTATTTGTGTAGTTAGTGGTCTCATTTTCGTTTATCAAACAGCATCGAGCCTGTCATTTCATTCGTATTTACTAATTTGGTTTCATTGCAAACACATAATCATGTAACTTACAGATAGAAAAGGTACACGGGGTTAGTCCAGAACTACATTATAGGAGACAGTTGGATTCAAAACTTCGCCTTGAAAACAATTAAGGACCTTATTAGAACTATTGCACACAATTATAATATAAATAAATTTTCATGCACATGTACATAATTTAGAATTGCCATGTGATAATCAAGTACACAATCCTGTACGTGATCAGTCCATTCAACTTTCGATCGTTAATAGTACGCGCGTGTTTTTTTTATCTTCGCAGGTGTACTTGGGAGGGGCTTCAAAGTTTATTTGAGTTCGAAGGTTTGAATTGTACGGAAGCGTATTAGCGCCACACATTTTCTTTTTTTATATTTCCTCCTATGTTTGCGTTATAACGAAAACCTTTGCGATATAACGCAAACCTTTTGCGTTATAACGCAAAGGTTATATCGCAAAGGTTTGCGTTATTTCGCAAATGTTTGCGTTAAAACGCAAAGGTAACGCAAACATAGGAAAAAATATTAAAAAATAAAGTTGTGTGGCGCTGTAATACGGAAGCGTATTAGCGCCACACGTTTTTTTTATATTTAATTAGAATCAAAATGTGTGCGTTATAACGCAAACCTTTGCGTTATAACGCACACATTTTGATTTCAATTATTCATTAACTTTTGAATATTTAATAATAAAAAACTATATATTATTAAATTTACATTTTACATTTATGATATAATTTGAAAGCAGTGTTTTGTAAATGTCGGCATTTGCATGTCCGTCTGTCATCAAATTTCGGTTGGGATTTAGTTAAGAGAAGAACCATGAACACAAGGCCAAATCATTATAATAAATATGCATAGAAATAAAGGAATACTTGAAGTGCAATTATACACAAATTAATAAATGGTTTATGCATCAGAAGATTATATAAATTTAACAAGTAAATAGATATGGTATAGGCAAATTTTAATTGAAAGGCCAAGATTTTGAAATTTTTTAATAACGGAAAGTGGTAAACTAGATAAGAGCAAAAATAATGTCATACAATTGTGAAACTATAAGTCAAATAGACAAAATGATCTTTCTGCTTTAAAATTAATTATTCAGAAAAAAACATTCTTTTTAAATTTTGATGTAAGAAATCGTTTGTTAAAATCTCAGAATATGATAAAGATTCTTTAAAAAAAGTCATTGAATTTTAATTTCAATCTAGTGAGGTAGCTATTTAAGATGCTTGGGTAGCAATTTGAATGTAGAGAACATAATTATAATAAAATAGCATCTTCATCTTATACATTTATGGAAAAAGGGTAGCTTGTTTGAATCTAACCAATCTTACACAATGCTCAAACGAGCGCTTACTTTGGAAGTATACTTAAATTCGGCTACACTAGCGGGGTTGGTTTTTTATTTTCTTCGGTATAACTTCAATTTACTCAATTTTCTTTGTAATATATATATATATATATATACATGCATGTATTATCCTGCTCATTATTATCCCATGATGTGTGCTAAACACTCAAGCATTTTACATTGCAATGAGTACAAAGGGTGATCAATTTTAATATATGCAGCCTCCTCCATTTATAACAGCTGCTTCCTTTGAAACTTAAATAAGAAATAAAATAAAACAAATGTTTGCGTTATTTCGCAAAGGTTTGCGTTATATCGCAAAGGTTTTCGTTATAAAAAATTCCGTAGAATTGACCAATGACAACGATCGTTCCTTAACGAGTTGATCTAATAAAGTTTGTTTGACTGATTATCATTATGTCGCACAACCTTACGCTTAGCTTGTCCGCAGTTGCTGTCGTTCTATAGTTAGTGTGTCAAGTCTTACTAGTAGTCGTATAGAAAGTAGACAACAATAAAATAACCACTGGACTGATAATTGACTATAATTTACTTTTGTAAGTTAATCTTGTTTTTACAATTTATTGCCTTTTTGGGTTAATTATTGAATCAACATCTGATTGCCGTACAGAAAAATTACAAACAATACACCTGAACATATTGCAGTACTTATATAAAAATAAGGAGATGTGGTATGATTGTCATTGAGACAACTACCCACCAGAGTTCCAAATTAATTGGATGTAAGCAATTATGGGCAACCGTACAACCTTCAACAATGAGAAAAACCCATACCGTATAGTCGGCGATTAAAGGCCCCGACATGAAAAATATGAAACAATTCAATTGAAAAAAACTACTGGCCAAATTTATAACAACAAAATTTACGAGAAACAAATATGGCAGACATAAACCAACGACAACCACTTAACTACAGGCTCCTGACTTGGGACAGGCACATTAGAATGTAGACTACATTAGAATGTAGACTCTTTGTAGCAGAGCAGACATAGCGTGAGACTGCTTCTTTTCACACTTGATGACCTGGAGTTTTAACTCGTCTATATTTTTTTTATTTATCACAAAAAACAGAAGACCAGTGTAACAAATTTAATGAATTAAATTACATTATTATCAATTATAAACTGTTATAGTGAATGACTGTCACATAAAAACCGGTTGACCAAATCTTTGGTTTCGGTGTATCAACTTCCTCATCTGAACTTGCAGGTGTAACATTTGAAGATTGGATATTGTTGGTGAAAAACGGTGCAGATTGTTGT